CCCAGGCACAGCTGCGACCCTCGTAGTTCTGCCACTGACTCCAAGCTGTAGAGGGACTACAAATCCCAGCAATACATTATACAGCAAAGCAGAATACCACCAGCTTTAGAGGACTACAAATCTCAGCAATACATTATACAGGAATGCAAAATACCACCAGCGATAGAGAACTACAAATCCCAGCAATACATTATACAGGAATGCAAAATACCACCAGCAATAGAGGACTACAAAGCCCAGCAATCCATTATACAGCAATGTTGAATAATTTGAAGCTACATACTTTGCGTTGCTCACCAGTGCTGCGCGGCGTCTCAGTAGGCCGTGCAAAGTCTGACCGGGGATGTGCGTGGTCTCACTAGGGCTGTGCGCGGTCCCCCCAGGGTTGTGCGCAGTCACAGGCGGATGTGTGGGCTCTCACCAGGGCTGTGCAGGGTCTCACCAGGGCTGTACAGGGTCTCAGGAGGATGTGCGGTATTCTGACTCCGATTGTTGTATTAGCGATTTATCCCTTGCTGAGACCTCTATGCCTGGCCTGTATAAGTATAATCACTGCGGACAATCCTTATCAGATAGCTGAACTCACCAAATACCTTTTCATCCACAAATTGCTTTTTTTGAATGCAGCAGGGTTACAGCAGACAACAGGATACATCAGATGAATGAACAGACGGTATTTGAAGGTCAGAGATGGTAATGTTTCCAAGCATGCATTGCAGATTAATATGTGGTCATGTTACTGTCAGACATTTTGATGCCAGAAAATGACTACTCATGAAGAAGGGGGAAATAGATCATAGATGGGAGGGAACACAGAAAAACATGGTGCAATAACCCAAAACGACCACAAGATGTCCATATAATAAGCAGCTATACTAAAACCAAAGATAATGGATTAAGATAAACTATGTGATTCTCATTTCACATTAGTACAAATATTAACTATAACAATGCATTGAGTCATATTTTTATAACTGTGTAACAGCACATGCGGGGTCTCACCAGGGCTGTGTGCGGTCTCACCAGCACTGTGCGGGTCACACCAGGGCTGTGCGGTCTCACCAGAGCTGTGCACAGTCTCACTAGGACTGAGCACTGACTCAGGAGGATGGGCGGGGTCTGACCAGGGCTGTGTGCAGTCTCACTAGGGCTGTGCAGGATCTCCCCTGGGCTGTGCAGGGTCTCAGGAATATGTTCGGGGTCTCACCAGAGCTGCACAGGATCTCACTAGGGCTGCGTTCAGGTCTCACCAGAGCTGCATTTTGGGCTCACCAGGGCTGCGTGCGGGGCTCTCCATGGCTGTATGGTGGGTGTGGAGCTCTCCATGGCTGTATGGGTGGGGGTGGGCGGTTGTGGCACTCTCCACGATTGTGTCAAAGACATCCACTGCGAGGTCCCCAGCAGGCTGGCTGAGGTCCCATGCTTTCTTGATCCATTTAAAAACTTAAAGCACCAGTATCAGAGCTTAGTATCAGGGCATTTTCACCAGTACAAATACTGGTAAAAATGCCTAATATCGGCACCGATACTAGTATCGGTATCAGTGCATCCCTAGTATAAGATTCAAGGGGGAGGTTGAAAAGGAATGTGAAACCCTACTCAGCAAAGGAGCTCAATGCTGATCAGCAACACAATGTACTACACTGACACTGTACACTTTAGAGTTACCCAAACCACTGACATTGCATCCTTTGGACATAACTAGATCACTGACATCACACCCTTTGAACCTAAGTAAACCACTGACATTGCATCTTGTGGACCTAACTATATCACTGGCATTGCATCCTGTGGACCTAACTATACCACTGACATTGCATCCTGTGGACCTAACTATACCACTGACATTGCATCCTGTGGACCTAACTATACCACTGACATTGCATCCTGTGGACCTAACTATACCACTGACATTGCATCCTGTGGACCTAACTATACCACTGACATTGCATCCTGTGGACCTAGCTATACCACTGACATTGCATTCTGTGGACCTAATTAAACCAAGGATGATGCATCCTATGGCTCTAACTAAACCTCTAACCTTGCACCCTTTGGACCTAACTAAAGCACTGACATTGCACATTTTAGACCTATCTAAACTACTCACACACTGGTCACATTTTGTTTAGATCCCGCATTCTATTGAGTCACCACTGCCAAGCAGTACAGTTTTGTAGCATGCAGGGCCCCATTTTTATTTCTGACCAAGTCCTCACTTTGTCTAGGAAGGTTGCTAAGTGAGAGGATTATCATATGGCATGTATTACCATATACTGTATGTCTGCAACACAAAACATAAGGCCTGCCTGACTCATGGTGGCAGTAAAGGAGCATTTTTAGTAGCTGACAGTGAACGCCCTTTGTGCTCTTTGCATATAAAAACAGTGTGCTAGCCAAGAACTGACCATTTCAGATATTATATAGAAGAGTAAGACATGGATCAATTGAAGCAAACAGTGGATCGGGAAGCAGTTCTGAACCTGTTACAGGCACCAAACAAACCACCTGAGGAGTTACTGCTTAATTATAAAGGGATTCTGTACCCTGGTGCTGTTTGCAGTAAGGAGCTGTTTGAGGCACTGGAAACATTTGAAGCCAGGAATGATGATTTACTGATTTGCAGCTCTCCCAAATGTGGTAAGCAGACATACTGAATACCAAAAGCTATATCATTTTTCATTTTCTTGTAACCTATCAGGCCTAAATACTAAACATGAAGTTTTATACAGACATTTGACGAAAGAGTGTTTAATTGCCAGCATGGGAATGGTCTGTAAAGGAGTGTTACAGACCCCCAATAAATGATGGTTGGCAGAAAAAATGTTGATAAGTGAAGTTGGATTTTTTCATGTTCATGAATGTGAGCCAGTATGTGGTTCCAGATGACACAGCTGGAATTGTTTTTTTTTGAAAAGATGAAAAGATACAAGCAGAGTCTTGAAAGTGTATGTTACTCCAAAAAATGTTATTGCACATATGTATCTGTGATTCTATGTTATGTTATCTAAATCGTGCCTCTTTTCCCTTTTTCACTTCTTCATTTCCCCCAAATACATGGTGATCTGGTCAGTTCCCCTTTTTTAAGTTTTAATCCTGGCCATGCCAAGAATGGTATCTGATCGGGTGACAGCCGCTGCATGTAAATGTCTGCAAACCACATGTAATGGTATGTGATATGATTACATGCAGTTAGTAAACAATCACTCTCACTGGATGCACGATCAATGTGCCCAGGGAGAGTGATTGATTCCTGACCTCATGTAATCGTATTACACGCGGTGTGCAGACATTTACTTCATCGGCTGTCACCTGATCATTAACTTAATCAGTTGACAGCTGCTGCCTGTAAACGCCAGATTACGGATTCCTGCTGCAGTTCCTAATGCAGGAATCCCTAAATCACACCTAAATTTACAGGTGTAAATTTAGCCTTTTTGTATGTGTATTAAGCTGACCATACACCTATAGATTATCTGCAGATTTTCTACGGTCAGATGGAGAACGTGCAACAGATTCCTCCATCTGCGCTAAACTGTGTGGATGGAGGAATCTCCCACTGGGCCAAGCTTCAGTATCTTGCTAGTCGGCCTCGCTGGCTCTCAAAATACGTGAACAATCTGATTGGATGCAGGCATTGTTCACATATTTGAGAGCCAGCGGGGCCGGCTAGCAAGATACTGAAGCTTGGCCCAGTGGGAGATTCCTCCATCCACACAGTTTAGCGCAGATGGAGGAATCTGTTGCACGTTCTCCATCTGACCGTAGAAAATCTGCAGATAATCTATAGGTGTATGGCCAGCTTTAGTGTGTGTATTTCTGTGTGTGTGTGCGTATATCTGTTTGTGTCGGTAATATTGGGTATGTGTGTGGGAGTGGGGTATTTCTGTGTGCAGTGGCGTATCGTGGGGGGGTACTTGCATCCGAGTGCCGGTATGAAGGGAGCAGGGGGGCGGCAGGGATTCATATTGCCCGGGAAATTAATTTCCCAGTTGTCGGGCACCCCCACCCCCCTGTCCCCCCGCCGGCTACCTCTCTCGCCGCCGGCCTGAGATCCTCTCTCACGATGTAGAGCCGGGAGCAGAGCGGAGAATGTCCGTTCTCCACTCAGCTCTGTGTATACAGTGAGAGGGGAGAGCTGCACTTGCAGCCTTCCCCTCAGCTGTCACAGGAGTTCCAGCACAGTGCTGTGCTGGAACTCCTGTATTGGAGGTGACAGGTTCAATAAAGAGAACCTGTCCCTTCCAAATGCTATCACACAGGGGCTTGTTAGCTCCTGTGTGATAGCAATAAAGTTAAGTGAATTTTTTTAATAAAAAAATAAAATAAAAATTGATACAATTAT